ATCGCCTCGTAATGTTCATCATTAGCTTGAGTAGCGCCCGATCGCGGAGTATACATGGTGAATACGTGCGTGCGTGCGTGCGTGCGTGCGTGCGTGCATGTGAAAGTGGCTAAATGCCGGTAGAGCAGATATCGATGGAGATTATTTCCTGCGCAAAGCAAGTCAAGCATGATGGCAAAAGTGTGCGGCTTAGGCCAAAACAAAATATATGTGTGGTTACCGTTACATGCCGAAAAAAATAGGGTAGGTAGGTAGGAAAAACATTTTATTTTCTTGAAATATTTTATTTACGAACCATGACCGAAGGATGTGCGTTGTGCCTTTTGAAGCAGGAACTGAAAAAAATTTAAATTGAAAAAAAGGTTACAATTTTTAAATTTTTAAAATTGAATAACATATTTAGGGTCGCTGGGAATAAATAGGGTCAGTCGGGAAATCGTAACCACACCTATATTTTGTTTTGGCCTTACTAGTATCATACAGTCGGTGATATATGGTAATCAGTCACTCGTCAATATTCGGGTAGGTACAGCAATATTTTTTACGAAAAAATCGCAGTGTTCGTACGCAGTGAAGCATTGGCGCAATAGGGACGCACTAATCCAGAGGTCGCATTTAGCAAGCTGGGCAAGACAGTGTACATGCATTGGACGTATTGCTCATTTAATATTAATGTTGTAATGGCATGTAATTATTGTATTAGCCAATGGCATGTTGACAAGGGCGGCCTTCGCAGAAGTGTGCCATGTTTTATGAGTAGCCGAGTTCTTTAGTGACAGAACGCTATCTCGCGAGATTTCGTGGATCGGCTAGAGCGCCTTTATTATAGAGCCAATCAGCACTGCCGCCAGCAGTACAGCGAAATAAAATTGATTTATTATTTGCACTCGGGGAATTATTACGTGCATTATGAATCTTGTGGGGCTACAGTTAGATGTACAGGATGCCAGGCGTACACGCGCGATCCTACCCTATCTCGCGCAGATAATCACTACGGCTAATGGTATTAGAGCGATGGAAATGCACGAGACGCGTGTGCATTACTTATAAGTGAAGTAACGTCAATAGTCAATCCTCGATAGCCGTAATCAATGTTTCCACCTTTCCTTACCATTTAGTTTTAATATAGAGTTTTATTACGTCCATATTACATACGAGTCACATGACCAACAAAATGGTGCTTACCAGTAAACATCAGGTAACTTCGTAAATCTATCCTCAATTTTCTGAAAATCGTTGCATCATTAATCATGTGCAGAAAAAGAATTTTAAAAATTGCCTGTGATATACGGAACACTTAATATATATTTGAGAAAGGGTTTGTGCAATAATCCCTCCTGCGATAATCATGTGACTCGACACGTAGCGGTGATTGGCTGCCACTCACGATTTGTCGCCGACCGCCGCATAGAAATAGAAATAGTTTCTATTCCTGCGATCGCAGTCGGCGACCGTATTTTCGATCGTAAGAGAACTCATGTCGAGTTTAGTCGCCGATGTTTTTATCGGCGATCTGGCCGGTTTTTGACGTACGATCTTCAAATTTTGTCGGCGACTAGGTCGTAAGGGCGACCTGAGTTAGCCTTAGCCTTTACATTTCATTACTAATTTATCGGCCTGTCAACTATCACACACGCATGCGCGCACGGACGCACTCACGCACACACACGCGCACGCGTGCACATACCTACACACAAACACATTTTTATTCAAGAAAAAACATTCCGCCCTTTATAATCACGCGTAATATAACGTATATTAATGTATAATCACGCGTAATATAACGTATATTAATGTATAATCACGCGTAATATACCCTATATTAATGTTGATGTTATAATAAGGGGGCGCATACCACCAAGCGATACGCTGCATGAAGCACTAGTGGTTACGGTTGTTCCGACGGTTGTTCCGGCGGTTGTTCCGACGGTTGTTCCGGCGGATGTTCCGACGGTTGTTCCGGTGGTTGTTCCGGCGGTTGTTCCTGCGGTTGTTCCGGCGGTTGTTCCGGCGGTTGTTCCGGCAGTTGTTCCAACGGTTGTTCCGGCGGTTGTTCCGACGGTTGTTCCAGCGGTTGTTCCGGCGGTTGTTCCGGCAGTTGTTCCGGCGGTTGTTCCGGCGGTTGTTCCGACGGTTGTTCCAGCGGTTGTTCCGGCGCGTGTGTTCGGCGTGTTCGGCACAGTTGTTTCCGGTGTGTGCGGCGGTGTTCGAACGTTGTCCGACGGTGTTCCAAGCGTTGTGTCGCGGCGCGTTGTTTCGCACGTTGTTCGCGACGGTTGTCCGTACGGTTGTATCGATGTTGTTCCGGCGTGTTGTTTCGCGACGGTTGTTCTGGCGATTGTTCCGTGCGGTTGTACGAGCGGTTGTATCGATGGTGTGTTCCGGCGGTTGTTTCGACGGTTGTTTCGACGGTTGTTTTCGACGGTTGTTCCGGCGTTCTCCGTAAAGCCCTGGTCACAACGAGCCGCCACGACGCATTTGTGCAACGACAGCGACAGAAAATTTGGCAAACGTGGTCATCGGGGTCGTCCGCAAGACAGTCCTACGAAATTTTGAGCATCGTGCATCGACTGCCGTCGGGAGGCAAAATTGACCATGCACCTTTTTGTTGCACGATTTTTTGTGGCATCTATGTCTTCTGGTGTCGTGAGTCTGTCCTACAACAGTCTTGCGACAGTCTTGGCGACCTGTCGTGCGATAAATATCTTGTCGTGGGTACCAGAAAAATTTTTTTTAAGTCAAACAATTCTTACGACTGTCGCACGACTGTCCTACAACTGTCTCACGGCTGTCGCAGGACAGTCGCGAAACAGTTGCAAAGATTGTCTCACGAATATTATATTTCGTAAGAAGCTCGCACAACATTGCAAGTCTGTCGTGCGTTAGTCTTGCAACATATTTTTCGTTTTGAGGGATAATAGCGCGGCAAATGAACGCTTGGAATTAAAAACTGCCTGTCGGCGCTGAAGAGGATGGCTATTCCACCTGAGCGACTACGCGTGGCCCTGCTGAGGGGACGTCTGGAGGAACTCCAGCACGAGCATAATATAAGTGCTGGTTGGCGTTGATCCGGGCCCGGAGCAGCGCAGGAACCGGCGAAACCCCAGACGTTGTGGGTTCGGCCGTGATCGAGCTGCGCCTGATGTTTGGGCATATAGTACTCTGATGCAAGAGTTGGAGCGGGAATCTGCCGTGACTTGGTGGGGTTCATGCGGATGGAGTCTGGCATGTTTCACGAGCTGTTGCTGAGTGTCGCCCCTCGCATCACCAAGGGCCAACTGCTAGCCTTACCACCTTTCTCTTGTTGGTTTTCTCTTAAAGGCATCCTGGATCTAACTTTGATAAATGAAGTGACAAATGTCAAACATTCGGCAGAACTTCGATGTATCCACGGAAAATCTCTGCAGCAAATGGCAGGCAACAGACGGGCCTCGTTAATAGTCGGGAGACGGACGCGCGAGTGACCAGCGAATGACCCACGACTGTTGTGCCGCCAGTCGCACGACTGTAGCACGTGCATCCACGAGTTAACCACGACCTGTTCACGTGAAAAACAGCCCCCGACAATGCCCGACAACTCATACTGACGCACGACTGACTTGCGACACACCCACGACATAACCACGACATGTCTTTTTTTCTGTCGCGTTCCCATCGCCAAACCATCTTTGATGTGTCGTAGCCCTTGTGACCACTCGAAATATATTTCGGGCATGTTGCAAGATCTGGCCACGACAAATATTTTATGGGACCACCACGACAAAATTTCGTACGATCCGTTGTGACCGGGGCTTAAGGCAGGGCGATGTGTATCCAGCAGGGATGCCAGCATCGTCATTGCACTCGTCAGTTTCGCACTGTGTGGCGCAGTCGCATCTAATACCACTCTTGGATTCGATGCACTCTTCCGATTTGTTGGACATATTTTCTACTCCACAACCTCTTTCAAAGGACGTAACCAGCCCTGAAACAACGTCCGTCACACGACATTAAACGCGTAAGCAAATAGTCTCCCAATAAAACATTATTATAACAGGCAATACGTGTATTGTGTTTATAGTAAAAATATTAAGCAATCTGTATGTCTGTTTGCCTGTCTGTCAGTCGGTCGCTCCATCCATTTCTCTACTCTGAGCTCATCCTCTAGTGCGATTATCCTTCATTCAGTCATTTTGTCCGTTTGACGGATCGTCTACTCTACTCATTTGATTCCCTCACCATCCTCCATCTGAAGAAGTGTGTAGCAGAAAGTACTGTTAGCACAGTCTGTAATGGGTGATTCGGTCACAACCTCTGCAGGATCACTCTGGCATATGCTCACGTTCCATGCCCCTTGTGTACTTTGAGTACACGTGTAACAACGCAGTGATGATGCTGCAATACACCATGACACACAAATATAAAATACGGCAAATACGGCATTTAACTGCTGCGCGGCGGCGGCGGCGGCGGCGGCGGCGGTGGTGGCGCCGAAAATAATTTAACTCTCAAAGTAACATTATGTGCGTGTAGAAGTTTAAATGAGCATGACATCAAATTTACTTCAGTAGTGTTTAAATAGGCAGTAGTTTTGTAAGTGTTTCCAATTTAAACACGTGTGCGCATCTCACAGTACATTCCACGATACAGCCTATAGTGCGTCATCCTACTTCAAATATGTCCTGCTCAAGATCTGTCTGTTTGCACTAATATATGCATTACTTTCACCATACAACAAACAACGTGAGATCGAAGTTGAAAACAAATTGAACTTACCAGTGTTTGCCATCAGTACCAGCAGCAAACAGGCTATAAGGTACATTCTCATCTTCATATCCATGTAGTATAGTGTGTCCAACCCAGCTTCAAACTTTTATTCCTTCAAGCTAACAATTCGTTATATTTTATACAAGTTGGTAACGATGTGACGTGCACTCTACTGAGAAATATCGAAATGTAACAATTATATATAGGTAAGTGAATGTTGTTATCATAACTCTGTGTACTGTGTACGTTATCAACTTCAGATTACTGATTGGCTTTAGGGGCGGATTTAGACCGTATTTGCCGTATTGGGAAATACGGTCTAGATTTCAAAGTGCCCTCCAAAATTTTGCGCTAAAAAATAGAGAAAACAATTTGATGGAATTTGGCTATATTCTTTATTTGTTTTCTTTTTCTTCTGATTCATTGACAGGACTTGAAGGAAATCAAAATTTTACATGGTAACAAAACTAGCTTTGATATCTGGAAAATAAGAGAAGTGCTTAAATCTTTCTGCATTAATTGCTGGTATGCAAAGCGCAGGCAAAATGAAGCAGAAATAAAATTCCATATGGTTTTTAGCTATTGCTGCTTGACTAAATGTGTGCTCAAATGGTGCTCATTTTTGTGCCCAGGGACCCTTGAAATTTTGAATTCCTGGCGGAGCCCCCAGACCCCCGCCATGTGCTTCGCGCCTAACGGCGCCACTGTGGGTGCGTGCGCGGTTTTGGGGGATGTGCCCTTAAAATCTGGAAAAATACTGTCTAGCTTCAGCCCTGGATCCGCCCCTGGGCTTTGCTCTATAGTAAGATTTCAGCCTGACGCAGCAAAATACCACAAAATGGGCGTGCTTGTACACATACGAGTCGCATGATGTGATAACGGGGCTAAAGCAGAAACGCAAGAGTTGTAAAACAAACAATGTTCAAATGTCGCTTTGCTTTTCCATTTTTTTCAGAGCGAGACGAAAACAAGCGTGCCACGCCGCGGAAACGTGTTTCTATACACGTAGGCTTATAAATTTCGCATTTCTTTTTGCGAAACATCTCTTATCTATCTCGCCACTTGTGAAATGACAGCGTATACATAGTGCACGCCATCCCACGCACGCACGCACGCACGCACGCACGCACGCACGCACGCACACTTGCACCTCCGCGCGCACGCACGCACATTTCACGCATGCCCGAACGCATGTCGGCACGCTTGAAGGACGCACGCACGCCGCACGCACGCACGCACAGTTGCACCTACCCGCGCACGCTGGCACATTCACGCATGCCCGAACGCATGTAGCCGCACGATCAGGCACGCACGCACGCACGCACGCACGCGCGCACATACAAACTCCAACACCCGCCGCGGGTACACGCACGCGGCACATAACACATTGAAATACTTTTAATATTGGAAATGAGGAATTCTCTGATGTTTCGCAATTTATGGTAAATGTGGCACCAAAGCTTAAAAACGCTAAAGATGATACTCTAACTATTAAATGGGCGCCGATTTCTCTCTGCTAGCTGCTACGAAGTGTTAGTTGTCGGTGCCCAGCTGTCAGAGAGTCTGCAGACTCAAATTGACCACAACGCTGTCACAATACTCTTTACAAAAAATCAGCGGTGAACAATCAATAAATATAGCAGAATTTATTCCAGAAGTAAGCTTCGTTTATTCGTACAATTTGTTGCTTGTCGAGTGAAATACAAAGTTAAGGTAAATGTAGTTCAGGCCAGAGGACAAATGCAGTCTATAAATCAAAATATAGCATTTTACATGCAAGGACTTACTTCAACAAAACCATAATTTTGCGTAGTTCTAGGCACAACAAGTAAATCTGAAAAACATGAGCATCCCCAAATTACACTCCATGTTTACTACTTCAATCTACGCAAGACATGGCACCAGCTCATGATAACCACTCGCGTATCAATCACTATCCACAACCAACACCGCCCTAACATCTTCACAAAACTATTATACCTTTTATGAGGCTTGCATCGTATAAGCCAGCCCTGCAAAAAAACAGCGGCCCCGCCGACTGCCTAACTTCCTGCGCGCTCAAACTCCGCGATGTCAACTACGAAACCGGTTTTTATGGCCGGGGCTGCATTTATAGCCAGCCCTGAAACAGCGCGCGCACTTGCTAATTCCTGCCTCAAACTCCGCGTATCGTAAAATACGAACCGGTTTTTAATGCGCCGCACGCATGTATGAGCAGCCCTGATAACAGCGCGCGACTGCTAATTTAACTTCCTGCTCAAACTCCGCGTATGTAAACTACGAACCGGTTTTTATGAGGGTGCTATATATAGCTGCCCTCATAACGACGATCGACTGCCAAGTCAAAACAGACTATTTCCTTGCATCATGCAGTCACAAGATCGACGTTAAAAATGATTGAATAGGCCCTACCAATGTAGTAAAATTAATATTCTGCTAAAAGTTTAAATCACAGCTTATCTGAACACTTGAGACAAAAATACATTTAATAAGAATTAATACTGTAACCTTTATATTCCGAAAAATTACAACAAGTTGAGAACACCGTTAATTAGCAATAATAACAAAGTTTTGATCTAAACACTGGAGATGCAAATGCATAACTAGTGTAACTTTTATGAAACAGAGATATTTTTATGCGCAAATGTTTAAAAAAGACTAGCTGTACATGCATACAATGCGCAACACACACATCCACAATTACGAATGTTCTTTCAGGTTATCTTCATTTGCGTATCTTTTTTCAATTTCTGCCTGTGTTTGTTTTAAAAGACGGCATTTTGCCGATAGACAAAATCTCCAATATAAGACGGAATCCCGTGACACAAAATCTGTGTACGGTCTTCGGCTTCGTCCTGCACCCGCATAGATCTTCTTCCATGTAGTGGTATAACTTCCTTCAAACCAGTGAACTTCCAGGTTTTCTTCACTTTGTTCCACCTTCAAAGTCATGTATACATTACTTTTACGAAAAAGTTATTTAGGTGTGAAACATTTTTAATAAAATAATGTAGGCATAAGTACACATCTGGTACGTCTGTTAGTGAGTATTTCCTATTCCAAGTTATGTGAGATAAACTATGTTATAAAACTTGCAGTCTTATCCATTGTAGTGCACACAGCAGAGGGAACTACAGCTGGATTTACTTTGATGTGCAGACAATTGCCGTTTTCATAATTACACGTTAAATTTACCAGTAGCATACCTTTCCAATCCATGCCCTGTGTTGCCGTGTTTCTCTATACACAGCTACAAACTGCCCAGTAGGGATGTTGGTCCTGTCCTCCTCGACCACATCACGAGCAAGGGCATCCCCAATTACAACCTAATATTTTTCAAGGTTTTAAAGATATGAGAGAAACAATACCAGCTGCTGCAAGAATATCATATATCATATCAATGGCATGTCATGCGTTTAAAGAAAGCATAGGAGACGCGCGCATATACGCACACTCTATAAGCAGATCATTGCAGCTGATATTTTAGTCGTAAATGCAGAAGATGCTTGATAAGAATAGTCAGCAGTTTGGGCTACGTGACCGAGCCGGGGTCGCGGGATCGCAGGTAGACATGAGTTTATACCCGACTCTCTCCGATATCCCCAGTCAACGTGAAATGACAGGTGCGATAATGCTATCATGGGCGATGGCTGGATTTTATAGTGCTCACGAACTGAACTCATAAGAAATTTGGCGAGTAGAAAAATCTACGTACTGACTCCGTGATAAAGAGCCTTTATATAGTCCTAGCTGCGGGTACCCGCTGCGCTGGGTAAAATCGTGCTACATAGGAACATTGGGTAAAAATCGACAATATAACATTGCAGACAATATCAATATTTAGAAATCAGTCTAATAAGTTAATAAGCATGGGGAAAAACTGTTACGTATGACATTTATATGACAGCAGAACCCAACTTAGAACCCCTGTAACATAATAGTAATATGGTGCAAATGAGAAAAGGTTATTATAACAGCATGTACGAATGGGTTGCAGTTTTCATTTGAAAACCTCTTGATAAACAATGGTTTGCGTGTTATTGTCTGGTGGAAATATGTAGAGATTGCTGGCGTCTCGAACTGTTGAGCTCACCACGTACAGCTATCCATTAATTGTCAGATCGTAGGATAAATAAACGAAATTGGGTATATAGTATAGATAGAGACAGGCCAGGCAGGGCAGGCGGAGTGGGGACGTGCCTCATTGGATAATTTGTCTAATGAATGCTTGGGTCGCGACCATGGCACAATTGAAATAACACGGAATTATTTACTGCAATCAGAAAAACGGCATAGCTCGAATGGTCATGGGATTCTGAAATCGTAGCATAGAAATAGAAACAAAAGTCGATATAATTAGTATACGCAGGCAGCGAGTGGGTGAAATTTGTAATTTAAAAAGAATGTTTACCTGACTGTGGTACGCGTTTTATGGCGTTGAATGTTTTGAGCATCGTAAACGCTCGTCAAAAGCTATATGAACTGCATATTAATCTATAGTGATCTCTATAGAAATATTTACAAATCAGTCCTAATCAGATAATAAAGCATGTGTAAAAAACGGTTAACGTATGACATTTAATGACAAGCACAACCCAACGATAGAACCCGCTGGAAATAATATAGAATAATGGTGTAAATAAGAAAAAGTTATTCTAACAGCCATGTTACGAATGGGTTATGCACTTCTCTTTCAAAGCCTCTGATAAATCATCGCAAGTCGTAACCTCTAGAATCAAGTTCCTGGTTGTGCTTGTTTTAGTATCGTTTCGGTTGTCAACAATACCAAGCAGCTGATGGAATGAGTGATCGATTTTTCTGTGTGTTGACAGCACGTAAAGCAGTCAGTGCTAGACATTTGTGGTGCAGAATCAGCGAATTGAGGGGTTTATTCACGATAGAATTTTTTTACGGTGAAGTTTGAACCGGTTTGGCAATTTTTTTCAGCAGGAACACTCCCCGGGTATAAGAGAGATGGCGCTCCTGTGAAAAATTTCGCAATCCTAGATCGCTTGGGCGGTATTGGCCACCTATAGGGAACTATAGCATACCTACA